AAAAAGAAAAGGAGAAATTAATCAAGGAAAATTTTCACACGGCTCAGAAAATTTTTAACACGTTGACGACCGTGTGGTATGATGTCATACCACACTCTTTCGGCCACGTGGGACCGTGTGACATGATGTCATGTCACAGTCTTTTTTAAGCTGGTTTTCAAACATTTTAGGTAACTTATTTACGTGATGTATGCGCCATACTTAGGCATTGTTACAAAAGGCGTGGTCCCTGGAAAGAAGCTTCGGTTGATGGGCTATCGAGTTTTTCTAAAAATGTTTGAATAATGATCAAATCACAGGAATCGCTAAAATGGCCAAAATCGCATAATCGGAGACCTACCACACAAGAAAGATAACAAATACACACTTCCTGAGAAAAAGGAGTTCTCGTGGGACCGTTTGACATGATGCCATGTCACACTCGCGCGGTCAAAATAATGCGCGCGGTCCCACACGCCAGACAGCGAAAAATAGCGCGGTCGTCAACGTGTTAAAAGAGGACTGTTCGAATTCCCGCCGTGCATCTGCCACAAATGTTAACAGCGAAAACGCTTTCACTTGGTTCCCGTAAATTCGATCAGTTTTGGTCTTTCTACCTATGATAACAACATATCGCTCTTCTACTGCATCTATCGATCGCTTTGTCTCTGTTTTCCCAGTTCGTATGCTCTTCCAATGCGTCACCAAAAAGAGGCCGCTTACGGCGTACTTCTTTCCATGCGCCGCCATTGACTCACCCATCAGTCCAAACCGGCCACAAAGTTACGTTTTCGAAGGGCTGTTTCTATTCGAAAACTTAACTTCAATGCATGAAACCTCCATCTCTAGTGATGCAGATAGCTCTTTTTTGTTGGGAATAGATACGCAAGTTTTTGAGGACATTTCCTTCAACTCCATGCAGGTTTGAGAGCTCCCACTTTACGAATTCAGGAATCGCGGGAACACAAGCAATGCTGCGAAAAACCTGTGATCTTTGATGTGATGCGATGGGTCCTTCAGTTGTTTCCTACGAGACGGCAAAAGTTTGATCCCGCATTCCAGCGACAAACCAGGGTCTAGTCAGCAGGTGGAAGTGGAGGGGTACGCCTTCCGGGTTGATTGGAGAAAATTCCTGGCCCGGTACCAGGATAAGATAGAGGAACTCCATTGTCGCCACGGCACAACAGTTCATCTTCGTCGCTTCAGAAGGGAGTGGGAACATGGGGCATGGTTCCTATATGATCTGAGTTGCCACAAACTCCGAACGAAGAGAGATATTTGCTTGAATTTTCTAACTTTCCAAAGGACATTCGCTTGGCTCGACAACTTGTTTGTTGACGAGAATTGCGTAGTTCATGTATTATACGTGGATGCCCGTACGGTCACGGTCGGACACGGGGACCTGGCGTCCGATCGTGTTTCGTAGTTTTATCCTCAAACAATGGCCAAATTTGGAGAAAATGCGGAGTGATAGTGCACTGGGAAATGCATTGGTCCACGCATTGCAGAGAGAACCCAACGAAACTTCAAAGCTTCGGATGGGCCGTTTTAGATCCAACCGTATTCACCAGACTTCTCAATAAAGGCTCTTCCATCTTCATCAAACCTTGTAAGATTAGATACATAAGAAACATAACTTACGTTGTCCTAAGCCTTTCTAGCGATCCCATGACACTTTCTTCCGCCCAATTGGCGGCATTTCCATTCTTTATTTGTACTTTTGTTGTTATGAAAATATCCTCCCGTTGCAGCCCACACTTTGGCAAATTCTCCTTGAAAAGAGCACAGAATGATGTCACATCGAGCATGTGTGTGTGGCAAAAAAAGTTCTCAAGTCTGAGGTGTAACTAGTTTGCTATCAAGGTGAGGTTTTTGTGAGGCTACACAGTTTATAAGGCTTTTTGACCAAATAGAGAGTAGAATTCACCTCCAAAGCAGCTCCTAGTTCGGCTTCAGTGCCATATAACTCAGCCGTGTCAAAAAGTCTGTATCCAGCTTCAAGTGCTATCCGAATTGACTCGTTGAATTTCTGCTAAAAACTTCTTGGATGTGCTGATAACTCGGACAATTTATAGTAAGAATTAAGCCACAAAGATGCACAAACAAACACTTGAAGCATATGCACCTTCAAAACTACCCAAGCCAATCATTGGCATTTCGTTTCCGTCGCTCAGTGTCATTCGCCCACCCAGAACATGTTCAGAACTTGACGACATCCTTAAAGACCATACTGCTCGGCGGAGTACTGATTTCCAAAAACTTTGAAACGATGATTGGCTCCAATAATTGTCTGGGTGTGTGAGGACGTAAAATAGATGATGACTTGGGCTATCCGAATTCAAACTTTTCTTCGCCTACTATATTTGACATCGGCCCGATTGCTCCCACACTGGGTGCGACGTTTAGTTAAGCGTATGATGAATAAAGAGCTAAAAAAATAAATAAGGTAAATAAACAATAAAATGCCCAAGAACAAGATCGGACCGATTCATAACAAGATAGAGTGAGTGCCTCAAATAGCCGTTTTGAATATAAAGTTGTTATGTTATTCAACTGATGCGCCTGTGGACGCGACACGAAATCAGCCTTCTTTTAGCCGATTGGTTGTATCCAGAATTTCCAGGATAAGTGTCGGAATCTCGTGCCTTTTTTTACGAAAAGCTACCACTAAATATGGTATAGTTTACTATAATTCTATGAGTTCCTTAATTGTTGCTCAAACTTTTTTTATCACCTTGTTAAGTGATCATCGGTTATTTCCAACGTTGGATCTGTAAGTCATATACTGTGTTAAACTAGCTCTCAAGCTGAGCAGAGAAAGCTGAATGAACCGTTCGACAAAGGGTCATATTTGCGTTGATCAGAGGAGGGGTTCCCAGCTGAGATTGAGGGGGTCACAGTTAAGGCAGAGAGGGATCGATGAGGAAATAAAGTAGCCATGTCAGACGTGAAATTCGAAACAAGCAGCGACACATCCCGCTCGACGTCAATCCAGGAGGGGTCTAATGGGCGGAGTTGGAGAGTCGTGTAGTAAACGCAACCCTGGCGTCTTTGAGGCAATCCGAGCGTCATGTCATATTCGCGCAGTCAAATCGTTGGAGGCAATTTTCTTTCTCTGTCAGATTTCCACTCTAACCTTGAAACACTAGAGTAGTAGAAGAATAAACGACGGAGATCTCACGTCGATCGGCCCCTCCTGGGATGCGCTCTGCATTATACTTCCATTCAGAATCGTAGTTACACTTGGATGCGGTACGGCCTAGAATGACTGCGAGGCCCAGCTGACCTGCGACTCACGATCAGCGTATTTATTTTGCCAAAAAAGCCCGGTGCCATTTGACCGACTCCGTTAAAGATTCAAGCTTGGCTGCCCTGAGCGAGACTCGATCAGAGATTTGACGGTTCGTGCGCACAGGAAGTGGCACCAGTTGCCACTACAACCACCCTCGGCCACATTCGAACAGAGCATAGGTAAACAGTCGTAAAGGAACTCGAAGCCAGAAAGTTTAATGAGTGATCAGAGAAAGTAAGGTTGGGCAATGATCAGAGAATCATGATTCAGTGATTCCCAGTAGCGATCCAGACGTAAAGTGAAGAAAAAAAAACGCCTTCTATCTCACAAAGTTGATTCTGCTAATTCCACACTCCGACGCTTCGACCACTGGCCCACCTACCACAAAGACCAATCGGCTGTCTTGATTCGCACGATGTCACTTTCTCCGGACTGTTGGAAAGACTGGAAGAAATCAGCTCCAAGTGGTGCATCTGATGATGTACTTTTCATCCATCATCCTTCCCGTAGAGATTATTTCATGAATATCATGGCCAGCTGCGATAAGGGGATTTACGGAGAAGTTTGGGAACAAAAACAGTCCACATTTCCTTCCGGGCTAATTCAGAAAAAGAGAATCATGAGCCAGATTGAGGTTATTAAACAGCGGATACATACCCACCAATCTGAGCAACAACGAAACTCGAAATACAAAATCGTCAAAGAATGAGACTGATCTACAAATTGATCCTTGAACTTCAAGCATGATTGTGCGCAAAACTTTGAAAACATCGGTCATTCGGAGAATTCCCTGAGACATTGCCGGCTGTTTTGTGACTGCTTACGGTTGAAATTCCCTTGCTCATAACAGAGACGACCATATCATCCTTTCCTGGTACTGCACGCACACTCCACCTTCGCCCTTGGAAGTAATTAGGCACAATCGCGATGCAGCCATGATGAAGCGGCATGTAGAGGAACAAATGCAGGGCAAGAACTAGCTTTCACTTTCTTGTATCATTGTTATCGAAGTGTGTCACTTCAGTCGTCCCATCCATTGTGTCGTTTCTGAAGTACCCTCCACAGGAACGAGATTTAGAAGGAAAATTTTTCATTACAAGACCCGCTACTCCCGGAATTAGTAGTAGTTCTATCGTCAGGAAACTGGTGGTTAAGGAGCGATTAGATAGATTTCTCAAAGGGTTTAGAGGGAGTTGGGGTCAATAGTTACGACAATGGCGAAGCAAGAAGTCGTGAATGAGCAATAGTACCCCTTTATGCCCGTTCATTTTCGACCGTGAATGAGCGGCGACAAAGAAAGACGTTGTTCGGACGTGTTAACCCCGATAGCCGCCATCATGCCAACAAGCATAGTGTTTTGATTGATAAGGCAATACGTGGGCAAGTTGGAAGATACAGCCGCTAGAAGGGAAATGATCATCCAAAATGAAAAGCCAACAGCAAACAGTCCATCCAGATCATCAACAAAACTAGTGGGCGTCACGTCACTGGGGGCGGAGCGTCACGCGGGTCCTGCTCAGCAACCACAGCACCTTTCGCCGTGGGAGGACCACACATCGCTTCCTTGGCAGCCAAGTAATTGCTCCGTGTGGCGCAGGTTCTCCCCCGATGCGAAAATTCCTTATCGTAATCGCTTCCTTTAACTAAGTAACACGATCATAGTGATAGAGTCTAAACAAAAGGGTTAGATTGGGGTCAGGAAGAGAAACAAAAGGCAAGAACTGATAACAACGATAGCGTAAGAGCTTGGAGGTCACTCGAAAGCAGATTTGAGATAACGCAACTCATTTCAGTATCATTTCATTTGCGCTGTCGTCCTTATTCCAAATAACCTTTCGGCCGCTACACTCCCCGAGTTCTAAAATGTACGGTGGATGTTTGAAGAAACATGATAATGGGTATTTCCATTCAACATCATTTGCATCAAAGATTATTCGACCGCCAAATTATTCTGACATTCAATGCATGGTAGTTTACAGCATCACTCCAGCTCCGTGCTCCACCGCGCATATCATGCGGACAGTCAGTTTGTGTGCTTACGGCCGCTGACAGAGGAGGCGTTTTTACGGGAAAACGCCTCGGGTATACGCCGTGCACCTATCTGTGGGCAGAGTTCGCACTCGCATTTGAAGTCTTCTGTTTTCCTGAAGAAGGTGTTAGTATCCTGATTGAGTTGCATTGTGCTGTTATATGGCACTCTTGTTTCACTTTCCCATGAACTGCTCTACACTTTGTTCTCCTTGGGATTTCAGGAATGTTCGATCATCGAAGACAGACCATGTTTTTGCACTACGCTGTAACAAAGTTTTTGGCTATTGTAATCTTGATCTATGCTGTCGAGCGAAAGCGCCGTCCGTGTATTAAGGATAATAATGGCTGATAGTGAGACTTATAATGCTCTGCATGCTCTAATGCTCCCATGGAGCTCTTGTCTGTGTGACTCTCCGACAGCGTGCAGAGCTCCTGGAGAACATTAGAGGTGAAAGTGCACTCCCGGACACTGCACTTTTCAAGCCGTCTTGCAGCCCGTCTGTGGATACGACCCCCTCCCTTTTCGGTCGGCTGAATACGACCCCCTCGTTGTTCTTTGCGCAACGCAGGGTTGACCCTGCACGTGGATTAAGATATGGCGGCCAAATGAAATACGCACGGGTTATTTGAGCCCAAGTTCGCACAGCTCGACTGGCCCCGCTCCTTATTTCAAGGGAATCCTTGTTTAGAGCTTTATCGACCGCAACTCGGTATCCACATCCGTTATCGACCGCTATGACTCCACAAATTCGATCTGGTGAGGGGGGGGGGTTGGGGCTTTAGGATGACTTCTGCGACTGCTATCAGAGAGAAGAGTTTCCTACTACGTGGTACCGCGTTGTCATCGATACAGTCAACAAATGCCTTATCAAATCTCGGTAGACTTCCGGTAGAAATGTTAATCGATTGAATTAGTATTAATTTAATTATAGACCTCATTTCTCCATGAGAATTTTTGAAAAATATATATTTTTAGAGAATAAGCTTCAACATGATTGTTAAATTTCCTAATGTTACGTCAGAGCTGACTAAAAGTGACAGAAAGAGGCTCAATAGGGTCTCAAGTCGACTAGATGATCTTTATTCAAATCAAACACATTCCAAACACGGTAAGACCAATATGCTGATTCAGCATGCTTTATAAGCAAAAATCACAAATACGTTGGTAGGCCAGGGCAAGAGAGTAATGAGTATGTTCCACAGACAATGTCCAGCAGTGGAAATCGCCGTTCATCGCTTCACTTACAAGGAGTGGTGACACTGTTCATCTGCAATATGAGGTATCCTACAGACATCTCCATGGGAAACATCTCGGACAAAAAGCAGCATTCCGATCGAGCTCTCGCAGCGATTTCAATTCATCATGTGTAAGCTGCGTTGCCGCCACCTTAAAGAATGCATATCAGTTGTAGATGTGAACTGTAAAGTGACTGTAAATTGAGAACAATCCCACATAAATATTCTTTGAAGTCTCTGAGCTAATAAACGTGTAGCCGAGGCATACGTGGTTGTTTGGTACAGGAATTATTAGATAACTTACTTTAACTATATTGTCGCGAATCCTTTCAGCAGTCACAGATTTAGGAATGATACCAATCCCGGAACGTAGAGGAAATGCGTACAAAATCGTCTGATAATAAAGATTCAAAATGACCCTATTTTATGATTCGAAGAAATATAAGGAAAACGTAAATGCACCAGTACCTGCGGCGTAACATCATACTTTTCGGCCAATTTTTTAACAATAGGCTCATTGAGAATCTCTTTGTTCCCCCATAGCAGTGAAGAGAACCCCTGAATAATTGTTTTTTTTTAATAGTGAGGTACAATTATGTAGTTTTCAGTTCACAAATTTTTCAGCTGACACCATGATACATTTATACGTCGTTCAGACTGGAAAAACATAAGGAGTTGACCATTTGGCGGTCACATTGTCCGATTATAAACGAACACGAAAGCGCAAAGAAAAAGGACGCGTCCCCTGAAAAGAACGGGAGAAAGCACCCGACAGCGCTGAAAATAAGGACCCCCTTCCTCGATAGGTGAGTCGGTGAGAAAGTCTAGAAAGACGCACAAAAAAAGGGCTAGAGGAAGAAACCGAAGAAAAAGCTCAGACGAGCAAGCATAGGGAATGAGTAAAACGTACATAAGTGCTTAACGCCCTTATCATGCGGTTAGAGGTGTGAAAGTTGCATTACCGCCGCGAATTTGGATCCAGCTAACGCATTTGCAGCGCTAGTGTAATCGCGGAACATGCTTTTGAGGCAATAATCACAAGCGGACTGCGAAAAAAGAAACAGAATGGCTAGTATTGAGTTTCAAAGCCATACCTGCACAAATATCCGATTTTGCATGCAGAAATGAATGAGAGTCCGACGAGTAAAATATGGATGAAACTCAAGCTGATCCACAGCGGGTTTGTGCTGAAAGAGGAAATGCTTGTACACATGCTAAGTAGAAAATATTCCACAATAATAATAATAACCTTAGCATATTCGAATAATTCCACCAGATGATATATTTCATAATTAGATACTCCTATCGATTTTACGAGACCGCGGTCTGAAAAAGAAAAGATTTCTAGCCGAAAGTAGAAATATTAAGTAGTAATATGGATCTGTTGGGTTTTTTTCGTGAGAATTGTTCTTTTTTTCAAAATGGACAATTTCCTACTAAAACCCCATGTTTTTACATAATATCATATACCATTCGAAAGAGATTCGCCAGCAATGCAGGATAGTGCGTTTCTCCCAAACAATCATTACAAACACGCTGCATTGTAGGCCTATAGAAGGCCCAGTCGACGAAAATTAATTAAAACCGACAAATCTCAAATCATACTCAGTACCTCTATGTGCATCCAATAAATTGCTGTATTTCAATTGAAAGCATTGCGTTAACCCACGCGCGCTGCCAATATTCATACAAACCTTTGAACTGCTCCAGCACTCGCCAAACTTCTCTTCTGCCTTTCTTATTGACTTCATGGGCATCATCACTTCCAGTCCATCGATCTCTAGGAAAATGAAGCAGGACCAGATCGAGGTACCTGAACGAACGCCTAGTGAATGACACCTCTGGTGAAGAAGCTCTACAAATTCTCCCTCCTCCCTTCTCTCCACAGAGCCACATGGATTACTCTGTAGAGCGCAGAGCATGGTCATTTTTGCACGCAGAAGACGGCAATAAAAGCAGAATCGTGTCATACACAAGTGCACAGTCATGCTTGCGCAATCAACTGGGTATCCATTTGTACACAGGCACATAAATCCTTGCGTTCCTATACAAGATTCTGTGGTGAGTAGGACAAGTCCAGGTACAATCGAGTCAGTATAACTCACGTGGTCCGAAGTCTTTTTAACGATCCCATAATGCTTTTCTTCAGCCCAGCTAGTGGCATTTCCATCCTTTGTTTGTACCTTTGTCGTTATAAAAATATCCTCTCTTTGCAACCCATATTTTGGCATGTACTCCTTAATAAAAAGATAAAGCCGAGCTATCACAATAAGTGTTAGCGATATCGGCCGAAAAGGACTACTTATATAATCAAGCCAAAGGCACTGCCTTGTGCTCTCTTCAGCAAAAAATGCATATCTGCTACTTTTCCAAGACGCGTAATGACTTCGGGCATGTAAATAGAGCATCACAAGCCCTAAGTTTCACCTCCAAAGCAGCTCCTAGCTCAGCTTCATTTCCATACAACTCCGCGGTATCGAAAAGTCTGTATCCAGCTTCTAGAGCTTTTTGAACTGAACTGTTAACGCTCTGCTGAAATGACTTAATAAATGAGTTGTAGCTCGGACGGTCAAGAGATAAGGAATAAGCTACAGTGCATGGAGAGCAAATTCACCTGACCATTTATACGCGAAATACCCAAGCCAATCATCGGCATTTCATTCCCGTCATTTAATCTCATCTTCCCACCAAGAACACTTGATTGATTCGACATTCTTGCAGATGATAAAGCAAGCACGGAGTACTGATTCCTGTAAAGCATCAATATGAATGATTCATCTTCAACAGTTACGTAAGAATCACTAGGATTAGCTTAACACGTTGCGACCATTGTAGTTAGGATCGTCAATTAACCACACTCTTTCGGCACTGACCGTGTGACATGATGTCATGTCACAGTCTTTTTTAAGCTGGTTTTCAAACATTTTAGGTAACTTATTTACGTGATGTATGCGCCATACTTAGGCATTGTTACAAAAGGCGTGGTCCCTGGAAAGAAGCTTCGGTTGATGGGCTATCGAGTTTTTCTAAAAATGTTTGAATAATGATCAAATCACAGGAATCGCTAAAATGGCCAAAATCGCATAATCGGAGACCTACCACACAAGAAAGATAACAAATACACACTTCCTGAGAAAAAGGAGTTCTCGTGGGACCGTGTTGACATGATGTCCATGTCACACTCGCGCGGTCAAAATAATGCGCGCGGTCCCACACGCCAGACAGCGAAAAATAGCGCGGTCGTCAACGTGTTAACGTTAGCATACACACTGAAGCTAATTCCATGAGCACAAAGGCACCTGTTGTTAGATGGGAACCATCAATTGAAAAAAGTCCCTGAGGACTTGAAATGATATAAAAGTGTTTTTAGAGTCAAGTTCAGCCAATACTGTTGAAAGAAAATATGAAAATGTAGAAGGTCAACGTGCTCGTGACCGACTGCCAGCTGCAGTGTTTAGATCCGGTTTGATGCACCCGTGACTTCTTCTGCTTACAAACGTTCTGTTCTCACATTATTCATTGATTTTGATTGCGATAGCTTAATAAACAAGGGAAGTAGCTGAACCATTTCTAGCAAAAGAATTTAAAAACCAGCACAATTAAATGGGCGTGAAAAAGTGTGATTCACATGCCTGTTATGGATCACACATACAACAAACTTTACCTCTTTAGAGAGGCAATAGGATGCAAAAAAAGCAATGATCAGATAATGATTTTTGACCTTTTACAGACAAGTCTGTGTCTAAAAAGGAAGTCAAACCACAGCAAACTTCTTGTTCATTTAAATACATTTGCTTTGCCTACTTACAAACAATCAAGAAAATAATCATGAACAGATAAAAAAGCGCACAGAGCGGCAGGCTTTGGGTATATGCGCCACCACTTAATATCAAACGAGGTCACAGCTTAGGTCAACCGGATTAGAAACCCACTACAGTCGTTAATGAGGTGTCGATCCTCACTTAACACGCACTACTACAATAACACCAAACCGGACGAATTACTATAGATACATAGTAAACAGGCGCCACGACAACAATAGTTACCGTAAGCCTCGCAAACCGTCATATGATGGAACGATAAGTGAAAAGAACTGATATAACATACGTCATGGTTGTTTTCAGAATTGATTCATGCTCTTTCTACTTCTACATCTTTCTCTCTGAGTTCTTTCCTGCACACCTATCTGGGGAAATCGTATTAGAGCTGTCGCTGTTGAGGGCTTCGTTTTCGGAAGCGTGATGCGAGTAGCAAAATTTCAAAATATGTAATTGATTCCGTAAGTTTCAACTGTTTCTACGAGTTAGGCTGGTGTCAAAGTCCGCGATGCGCTGCGCGATCGATGGATCCGATAAGCAAGATGACAAGGGCCCCAACAAATTGTGGTGCTCTTCAATCCAGCCGCCGTTTCTGCTTGATGGTGAAGAATGAAATGAGTGAAGAATGGAGTTTATTCCATTCCAGTTAGGGGGCATCATGATGCAGTTTCTCGGCGAACTAGTGTGAACTCGAACATTCCAGCTTTTCACGCATGTCAAGTGACTGCCCTCACCCCCCACCCCCTAGACTGGCTACACTCCCCTGGCTCGGAGTTACCCTAGCTTTCTGGAAAAACTGCATCATGATGCCCCCTAACTGGAATATACCCGAAGGCGTTCATGACTCGATTTTTTTCGTATTCAGTGTTTCGATGGCCTGATGGAGCACTTGCGATTTTTGCGATTCGAGCGACGAGTCGCGGACTCTGACAGTCCTGCCCCGTCCCCTTCCCCATTCAACAAAGATTGTGAAGGAAGTTCAATAGCCGTAACGTCATGATGATTCTGGTTATACAGTTGAAGCTAAAGTAAGACAGCAAACATCCATAGGAACTCCTTCAAGCAGAGCTACAAAATTCGATCAAAAATAAATGCAAAGCAATTCCTCACATCGAAAATACCACACACAGCATCGCAGTCTCTTATAGTCGATCGAAACAAGCGTTGCATGATGGCGAAATATGAATGTCAAATTAAATAGCAATTTGCACATGAGGGAAAGAGAGACAGGATGCCGCGGGGGTCAGCAATTTCAAAACCACAACGACTTTTTTCATTAACGATTTGGAAGTAATATTCATCTAGCCTACTTCCCCACTAGTTTATCTGTCATGGGCGCACAACCAAGCCCTCTAAGCTTTCCATACACAGGTAAAAACTCATGAACGTAATATTGTCAACCGATGAAAACACATACAAGATGAAATCATCTCACCAACATCTTATAGATGGAGGCTTCACGACACGACAAATATGATGTGCTACTACGGACATACGAAATTGACACTTCAACTCCCGCTTCTACTAATCTGTGAAACCAGCGATCACACCAAAGACACTACCTCTAGTTAGTCAGATATAAAAACAAATGGGACCATGTTCTGTTCTGAAGCGACACATTGAGAGAATTTTTATTAGATATGTACACGATTAAGAAGCAAATCGAATGATTACGCTACTTCACAAAATTTTCACCGGTTGTACCACAATTACCCAGCTTGTTTGTAGCTTCAGAGCCAAGCTATTCCAATAATGCATCACAGAAAGTAACTTGAGTTATACGCAGGTAAGCCTACCGGATGATCTCTCATCGTGGACACTGAAAATTAAAAAAAATCCATTTGTCATTTTCTGATCCAACTATGAATTAGATTTGATGTTTTTCGATTTTAAGGGCAAGCCTTTGAAGAGGGAATAGAGCAGCAAGTAAATGAGCATTGACCGAGCAAAAAGACTAAAAGAAAAGGACAGCGATGAGGGTAAGGTCAGCTCCAACACTGCAAATTTCCCACCTCTAACGTTCAACAAACGTACACATTCAATGACATTAGCAGCTTTCCCCCTTGTACTACCACTATGTGGTATGTAGTTATATGAAACTGTATTATTATCTGTCTCTTGTTGAATTTCCCTAACAGAAGAAAACCGCGGTTCAAGTGAGGGAGCATATGCTAGACGTATCATACAGCCTACAGTAGCCCAATTTTTCGCAAAAAGGAAGCTCGAGGGTGGATGCAAAAGAGTTTACGGACTACTTGAACTTTCTTCTATGCCTGTCCACGAATGGCGGAGAGCACAGACGATTAGAGAACGGCGCCTGGCTCGGCTCCAAATCCCAAGGAAGGAGGTGAGAGCCCTAGGACTAAGCCTTGTAAGGAGGAGGGACTTCGAGGTGGGTGAGCCAACTACAGTGTGGCAAAAGTTTGAATGTGAGATCACAATGGTCATGAGCCGCTGATAAGGCGAGAGAGCGCAGACGAGAGCATCGAAGAGGCGGCTTCCGAGTTCAAGTAGTCCGTCGACCGGTGTAGAAGTGACAACGGAATGGTTCACGCACCGCGGAGATTTCCACCAACTGCAAAAATTCGACCTTCTGTAGGCGACACTACATGCCCCCATCCGCGCTGCACGGAGTCGAAATTCTTAATAAATGCCGCTAAACATGAAAGGTATTGATGCGTGTTAACAACTCAGCTTGCTAATGAACTAACTTTCACGAAAATAAATTTCAATGAAACCACCCTGGGTGGAAAAAATTCAAACTAAACAAGATTCCAAGAAACGGGTAACCATAGCTTATTCAGATTTACACCTAACTTCTGACAAGCACAATAGTTTATATGCATGAACAACTAGACTTTGTGTGCATGCAACTTTTTCAAATGTACCAACCTTAACGGACATTTCAGTCACGAAGTTCAATTGGCCTCTCAAAATGTGGAGGAGAGGGAAGATAATTGCGTGGCGTCCACTGCCTAAAGAGTTATTATCACTGAAGAAGCAAACCTTGTAAATGAATTGAATTACCGTGATAATGTGATTCCTTGCAAGCCAACGTGGACTTGATACCTTGTGGCAACAAAGGAGCCAATAATCATGACAAGAATTGTGAACAGAAGGGAAATGATTCCATAGCACCAGGAAGTCTCATAGAATGCTCCACTAACATAAGCTGACACGGATCGGCCACTCTATAAGATTGACGTGAATGACACTTTGGACTATTGTAGCAAATTTACTGTGTTCATGCTGCAGTTGTTCACCTATTGAAAGGAAGAAAATTCTGATAAAGGGCAACTCTTGGAATGTACATACTTAAGTGACGAACTACTTCCCGATTACAAACGTGTTCGACATCACT